GTAAATCTAGTGTAAGCATTCCCAGCACAACACTTCGAGCACATGCAGCAGGAAACCCAAACGACGTAGACTCCAAACCCTACGCCCGTTGACTATGGCATTACGTACAGCCGCTGCTGACTGAGCTGGAGCTGATGCAGTCTACTGTAGAGGCCGTTTAAAAGCAGTTTTTCTGAACCCCGGCAAACCCTGCAGTGCCACTGAAAGTTGAGCTTTCCAGGTGCACGGCCAGATCTGAGCACTCGAAGCTGGCAGGTCGCATCCTGGCATTGAGCAAGCTACTGCCAAAATGATACTCGGTCATCTTTTCAAACCTTTAAGAGAAAGGGAGAGATGGAGCGGAGAGTAGCGAGAGGGTGAGAGGAAAGACAGACATGTATGCCGTTCGACTGTGTCCCTCAGGAGTTTGAAGGTGGCACAACGTTCTGATTCACTAGCATCTCGGCTGATACCTACATGATCGCGCGTTATGATGGTGATACTTGTGAGCTGCTACCAGAAGGTGTAGGAGCAGCACTAGAAACACAGTAGTGGCCACGATAGCATCGTCAGTGGCAGCAGTACTGGCGGTTGCAGTGATCGTTGTAGCAGTGGTTTGGTTGTGGCGAAGGAAGTAAAAGATTGCAGCAGCAGAGGCCGCAGCAGCAGCAGCAGCAGCAGCAGCAGCAGCACTGTCAGTATGACTCTGTCCGTACATCACCACAGCCTTTAGCAAGCTTGCCAGTAATCTGTATATATATATGTACATATACATATATCTATATACAAAGATGGATTGATGGGCCGCAATATTGGCATGTGGTTGTTGCAAGCGAGACTATAGTTGCAGGGAGGAAGTGCTAACTGCTAAATTTCGAGTACCTGAAATGATGCTGAATACGAAGCCCTGTTAGCCTTTAACCAAACCTTGGAAACCCTAAGCCACGTGGAACATGCCTGCATGTCGAACTTGAAAAGCTACACTGAGCGCCCAGAACCGCTAGCTGTGTCCTAACCACTTGACCCTGCCCGGGAAACCCTAAGTGCGAATGGCAACGTCCGAAATTTCTAAGCCCCAGGCCGACAAAAATGAAACCAACATCTCAAACTCGAGGCTTCAACGCAGACGCTTGAAGTCATGAAACCTACACAAAATCTATGCTACCCGAATCATGAGCGGGAGGAGGGTGAGTTGGGTATCTTTCCTCACTGCGGCCTTTGGACGGCCCATTAAATGCTTGAGGGTATCAACAGCCTGTCCTTCAAGCTACCGAGATCTACCTTTCATGGGCATCTGTCGTCCCCCGCTAGCTTACCCTGGTTCCTGAGCCTTTAAGAAGCCCAAACCCTTAACATTAAACCTGAACTGCACCGGAGCCTGCCGGCACTCTCGTCAGTATAAGGAGCCTGCTTGCAGCTTGTGGGACTCTGGCACTTGCGATTATTGCGGACAAATCCCTTAACTAGTCTGCAAGAGACCCCACAGCATCAGATTGCCTATAGGCAAAGGGGTGAGGGATCAACAAGGTCAGTGAGGTCGCCACAAACAAAAACTCTGGAGAAAACAAACCCAAGAGTAAGGTTCAACAAATTCAATGCTTTCATTTAGGCGCTTAAATACTTTAATCGGCACGATTCGGAGAATCAGAACAACTAAACCAGGACCAAGCAGCAATTAAGTCCTGTACTGAAATTTAATGGGCTTACGGATTGTAAATGCGATGACTAGGAGGTGTTCAGATGCCCAAATACGGTACACAGCATGCTTCGGAAGTGGTTCATTAGCACAAGTACTTTGCATAGCACGATTCGGAGGTGTTCGGAGGCGCAAGTACTGTACATGGCCCGAATCGCGGGTGTTCGGAGGTGCAAACACTGCACACAGCACAATTCGGAGCAGATAGCAATCAAAAGTAACGAAATCAGGCTGACTATAATTGTGGGCGCAGATTACTATACATGTAATCTCATTAACAAGGATGGTGAATAGTAGCAGCAATAGCAAGCAGCATGATGATTGTCGAAAGCATGCCGAAATACTTGTAAGAATCGGAACGCTGATGATAAAAGTGATGATAACTCTAACCGTTGTAATTTCAAACAACAGTATTGCGGCAACAGCAATAGTTGTCATAGTAACACTGATAATACTAAGAAAGATAATGGTAACAACCGTGATAAGAAGGTACAACAAAAACAATAACAATTGCAAAAAAGGTGGTAGCTGTAACAGTACTAGCAGGATTACGAGCATGAATCACAACAATAGTCGTAATGAAGTCGTCGTAAAAGTAGTGACCGCGCAAATGCTAGTACCAGAAATACGAAAAATCAGAAACATTAATGATTAAGCATGGAAGCAGCAGCAGCCGCAGCCTAACAATAGTAAAGACAGGAATACTAGTACTGGTAAGAGTACTGGAAATACATGTAGTCATAGCAGCGGCAATACTGATATCCATAACAACGAGAATAGCCTCAATAATAATAATACTAATAACAATATTGACAGGAAGTATGCAATAATTGCAATGGTAAGAGTAAGACTAGGAAGAGCTAGATAACAAAGAATCAAGAGACCTGACATCATGTGGTAATCGACATAAGAGTTGTAGTACTAGCGCAACCAGTAGCAACTTTAGTATTAATTAATTACTTGTCAAGGTGATTTGAATCATTCTGTTAGTCATGCTGCCTTTCCTCCTTCCTTCCTTCCTTCCTTCCTTCCTTCCTTCCTTCGCTGCCTCTCCTTCCATGGAGATCCCGCAAAAATGTGAGGACGCTCCCCGCGACAACAAGATGTGGCGTGAACTTTCGAGAACGCTGTATACCGTCGAAACTTCGAGGTCCCTATTCAAAGCGTTGGATCCTCGTTTTTGCGCCTTCATCATCCCATCGAACGACTAGGATCGAATCTAAGGCTAAGGCATTGTGTTTTGGATTACCTAAAAGATCATGATCATGCCTGCTGGGCGCTCTTGAGAGCCATGGGTTGAAAACAGAAGGTGCTCTCGCCATGTAAGAGTAGGCGTTCTCTACGTCTTGGTTTTCGAGCCATTTGGGGTTGAGAGGCCGAAGGCATGGTAGGCAAGTATAAGTATGCTTTTCGTGCTGGTCATCAGATTCTGTTCTTAAACACAAAGCACCTTTTGGGGCTTCTATACATTGAGTCCTGTTAGTTTCCCAGATCTGGGGCCCGAAAAAATGATTTCTTAGGCTGTCCCTTCGTGGAAAGTTCGACAGAAATGAAACCACATGGACTGAGAGATGGCTCGCAAGATGCTCCTGACAAGCTTCAGGTCTAGGGTATGCACCGAGTGGTATGTCAGCATTTGCAAATGGAACTCCTTGATACCGCAAGCAGCATAATGTACTACATAAGTAGAATAACCCTTTGGAAATTCATAGTGTGAGTCTTTGACGGAGAACGAACATGCTATCCATATCTCACCAGATTTGAGAGTAGTTGGAAGTCGAAGTGCTCAAGGCCCAACCTCTGGTCTTCAGTTGTTAATGTATATAGAATGCTGTCATTCCTCCAGTAAAGTACAAAAAGAAGGCCTTGGGCGTGTACCCCCGGCTGGGGTCAGTCCTGAAGCCCCAGCAATGAAACGCACATGGGAAACCCCAAACCCAAGACCTGAATAATTCCACCAAACGCTGAAGCCTGACTGGTAAGCCTGAATTGAAGACTGACTAGCCAACCCCAAACCCTAAACCTATGGTGGGATGGCGCTGGACCTGCGCTTGCTCCCCCTGGACTCAGCTGCATCTGGATGCTTGCTGCCTGCGCACAGTGAGTCGCTGCACAATAACCTGTAACTTGTCTGGCTTAAGAAGCGTCTTGTCGTGGTCATGCAACTTGGCTGATGCTGCCGGTACAAAATGCTGGGTGCCTGTTTATAGGATATGCTGACAGTTTGGGTAAAGACGCTAAAGGTGTTTCGCGAAACCGTGGATCCTGTCTAAAAAAGACTATTTGATGTTGAGGGTTATGCAGGTTGCACCTGACTTCCAGAACTAGCGAAAGGCTTTCATGGACAGGAATTTGGATACAACGGCGCCACACAGATTTTGAGGATTCTGATGAGCATGCTATGTTGATGCTGCTATCGGGTTATGACAGGAATTCAGGATCCAGGTATTCATCTATTACTCAGCTCCCTTAAAACGATAATCCGAGGAAGACGACACCCAGGTTTAGACGTAGACTATACAGCTTGCAACCTGCAGCAGGCACAGACAAAGCATCCAGTTGCAGAAGTAAAGGACAGGGAGCGGGTGTCCAAGTTCAGGGCGCTCCAGGTTCATGCGTGTAGGTCGCCTTCAGTTTCCTGGTCCGGTGTTGCGAACATCTGGTTTCGATGTTTGTGCAGCTCACGTCAAGCTGAACGCAAATGAGCCTGCCCAGATGGTACATACAGCAGCGTCCTGTATAACGATGCAAGCAGCATGACATAGGGACTTCAGAGGGCCTATGGGACCTGTGGGGTTGGATGCTTCTCGGCGTGCCCCAAAAAAAACACAAACCCTATTCAATTTCCCACATCATCTGAAGAACGGAAATCAATTGGACATGGCTTCTCATAGTCTGAAGCATTCGAAAAAAAAGCAGATTCAATGCCACACCACATCTGGGTCTGCTGATGACGTTGGATGGATGGAACGAAGCAAGACAGGTGTTGTTTGTGGAAAAGCTAGGGCTAGATACATCCTGAAAGGGTTTACACTAGTTTACACGTAACCTAGGATCTTCGAATCCTTCCGCGATTTTTGCCATGCGTTTAATTCAGAATTGAACGAACCTTGGATAGGCGGAGCCCATCCGCCATCACTATATCGTTGCAATTTTTGTCCTTTGGGTGAAGACTTCCTGCAGACTCATCCTGGCGGTCTTGGCAGCGATGGCCCATTACAATTAGTACAGAAGGTCTCACCTGCATCTTTTTCACGATTGCTGTTCCTGCTTCTACCGTTATTGCTTCCGATTTTTTGCGTGAAGCTCTAGTTGCAGCGCCGTCCTGCCTGCTGCAGCAAATTCTCGTCCACACCGCAAAACCTGCCGCTTCGAACTTCTATAATCAGAGAAGTTCCATGCGTGCGTGAGGCTTCTATGCAAGCATGTTAGGATTACGCCGTGGTTGCAAAATTATTTGGAGGCACCTTGGAATCCGGCCTCTTTTGGAGGAGGCCTAAAGCCAAGTATTTATGCTCTGAGATTGTGAAGCGGATTCCAAGGTGGCGACATAAGTTTTACGGGCATGTCTTAGGCCATTTCTTTCCACTGCATGGGTGAACACGCTTCTTTACACGCATCTTCTTGAGGCTTCTTGAGATGTTTTCTGTTGATTGGAGCCTCTTTGTGCGGTGTAAATGTGTAAGCTCAAGGTTTCTCTTTAAGTTCCTTAAGCTGCTTTCACGACCACGGCCCGACAAACACAGCCGCAAGCTTACAGTATGTCTAATGCCATGCACATGAATGGTGATGTCCGAATGGAGGAGTCTCCACTGGCAAAGCCCTAGTATACTACGCACAATTCTTCTTGCAAGGGCCCTTGATGAAGCCATTCATGGTTTTGGAAAGGAACGCCCTAAGCCCATGTGATTCCTAACTCTGTTGGCCCAGCAAACCTTGCGTCCATCGCGCACTCAACGACCTCAGCGGAGATCTTGCGATTCATGGCCTCAGCGAAGATCGCTTGTGCAGCTTCAGAGTGTCCTTTTCAGGCTTTCGGGCTTGGGGCGTAGGGTTTAAGGCAGCACTTGCACCTTGGCCAGTGCGGATTAGGGCGCTACGTCACAACTAAGGCTAGCACCACCTAATACTACCCTTGAAATGCCATGTATAATCTGGAAGGGATCACTCCGAAAGATCTTGGGGTTCGTACAAAGCGAGAGAACCAGACTAAAAAGCTCACGCACAGAGTCCCACATTCACAGCCTCAGCAAGCCCATGCAGACATGACAAGCATTTGCTACTCTAGTTACGTATCAGCATCATTACTAGCACCATCATCAGCACTCAAACACAAGTCTGCTGTCTCCCAAACCCTTAACCCTGCATCATTCTTGTTGCAGTACAAGCCCTCCAGTAACACCCTTGAAGCCCAGGATAAGTATATGGACCGACCTTCAACCCCTGTCAAGCCCAGTATGGTGCCCGTAGACGCTGCTGCTGGGGACCGCACTTTCCGTAATGCCGACTCCACATCCGGCTTATGGGCCTCGGAAACTGGAAGCAGATTCGGGATTAAAGTAAAGTCTAGAGGACATGTGGAAACTAGAGGGTTCATGAGGGTTTCAGCCTGCAATGCGCGGTTCTTGTTGCTGAGGTCTTCGCGGCGACTCTGGGCATGCGCTCTTGTTCACGCGCTGGCTAGTGAAGTGTCGCTCGATACTTGAGGGCGTGTGGACCGCCAGGACCGCACTTGAAAGCCCGAAGCCCGAAGCACAGATCACAGGCTTCCTGCCGAGCACCACACACCGCCGCCAGCTCCCAACAAGTCCGAGTGGATGTCCCAAAACCAGCAGAAATTCGTGCAATCTCTGCAGAACATGGCATTGCAGCACCATACTGAGCCCCAACATTGTACTTTCAAAAATGGTGTGCTGAAACGTTCCTTTCACGTGGAACCCCTCATCAATAGATCCCTAAGGATTGGAAACTCATGACCTCAACCCTGCGGGCTGATGCAATCCTTTCTATATCCTGAACCCGTGGATTTATTGAAGAAAGGTACATGAGTAGCGAGCATCACCAGCACCAAGCATGGAAAATGATCCCGTCTGTAAAAAGTCCGGCAGAACAACTGCTGATCAGCGTAATCCACGGTGTCGTAGTCCTGTTAACCACAAACCCTACACAACCAGCGTCCAATCCACACAAAGACCGGACAAGATGCATTTCATTCCATGCCGCAAATTTAGGCACGCTCAATTTTAAGGCAACCCTTGACCCAGAACACCTGAGCTCCAAACCGCTGAGCCCGAAACAATGTCCCTCAACCCTCAAACCGCCAAGGCGTTAACTCGAAAGTCGAAGCCCTGAACCAGGCCGCGTGTTTGGCCAAGTTGCTTCGATCCATTCAAGAGCTTTCAGCACCAACGCCTGTGACAGCAAGATGGTTGGGGCATGGGGCTTTTGAAAAGTGACAATTTTGAGGGGATTCATGCAGGTTGTTCGGGGCCTCTGTAGGATGTATACGTGCCGAGAATTTATAAAACTTTGTCGAGCCCTAGCACAGCAGCTATTGTCATCAGGAGACCTGAAAGAGCACCCCTTGCTGAGTCCTACTGGGGCTCCAATAAGTGGAATCACATGTGCAAAAAATAGCCGGCTGTCCTTAACTTCCAAAGCCAAACCTGCCCAACTCTGAGCCAACGATTATGCCTCCAAACCAGAGGGCCAAGCCCAGATGCAACTGGGGCGGCCGCGTTGTACTTTTTTGGCGGATAGCCCTTCAGCAGGATCTCTGACAAGAGCTTTCGCCTTTTTTAATGGTGCAAAGGCTGCCGTGGAAGCCCAAATGGTGCAGAGAGGGTTCTGCGCCATGTTAAAGGGGCATGGCATACTACATGGTGATGTAAACACTACACTGTCATCTCACATGTTTAATCTAGAGAAAGACGGCAATGGGTTTTCATTCCGACTCTCTTCTGGATGAAACGATGATACGATGCCAAGCCCCTTGCCTACCCTTCATATCTCCCGCGCATCCACAGAAAGTTAGCAAAAGCGCACTCGGAAAGCACAAGTAATCTCTGCTGCAAAGTAAGAAGCTGTCACCAACGAAGACTAGCAGTTTAGATGCAACCCACCCGAATAAGTGCGAGGGGGACAGGGTTCGGGGTGTAACGGGAACCATTTTGGCCGTAACAGGAACCAGTTTTCAGGACTTGTAACGGAAATCAGCGCGGACCATAACAGAAGCCGCAGCCAAAACGTAACAAACCAAGGCAGAAAGGAACCGAAACCGAAACCGGACCCAAAATCCCGGAGCCAGAATCTTGCAAAGTGGGGGAAGGAAACTCAGTCTCCCTCCAGGACAACTTCTTTGCAACTTGCTTGTACCTCCTTCTACTCATTTTTCTGCCCGTGCTTCCACTATAGTACTACTTCTACCCTCATTTTTGCAGCTTGCCTGTACCTCATTCTAATCATTTTCTGCTGTTACTGCCACTAGTACTAGTTCTACACTCCTCTCTAAATCCAGAACCTAAACCCTAGAAGCCTAAACTCTAAACTCCACGCCAGACCTTTGGATTTCACCCTCGAAGGGTCAGGGTTTATGGTTTAAGTTTTTGGAGTGGGACTTGTGTTCCTTGTAGAGAAAACATAGGTTGTTATATGTTTTTTAAGGGTTATAAGTACACTCAGGCCGCCTGACCTTCCAAGTGGAGCAAAATCGGCTACCCAGGGGCCAGTGGCCCTGTTACGGAAACCGGCCGGTTCCTGATACGGAAATGGGGCCGGTTCCTGTTACTCTCCACTGATACGGACAATCGGTTCCTGTTACTTCCAACCCTTGAGGGAGACATCCGCTTGAACATCCTGAACGCAAAACTACAAATCGCGACCCTAGCTACCAAACGCTTAGCATATAGAATCCTCAACCAGAGTAGCAGGACGGAAATCTCTCACGGGCCTTCTTCTCAGCCTGCGATATGGTAAGATTAAGTCAGTCAGATTCGTGCTTGTTCAGATCTGCAGGCAGCCCGAGTTGTACCAGTATGGGCTGAAATGTCAAGCCGGGCGTCAGTCTCCTGATGTCCTGGGCCGCCATAGCCGCTTTGATCTGGCAAAAGATGCTCAAAGGGATATGTTTTGGGTATTGAATGCGTTGGGGATGATCTTCTTCAGGGGTTCAAGACTGAGAGTCAACGGTGCGGGTCAGGGTTCAAGGTTTGGGAACGAAAACAAGGGTACCCGCGCTGCTAGCTTTTGTCCGTTCGTCACCTTCAATCCGAAACCAGCAAGAAACAAATCTTGAAGTGAGGTGCTCTAATCTCAACAGACCAACTGAACCATCCCCAAACCCTACGCCCTGTCCCAAGGCCATTCCAAGGGCCGCCTGCTGCTGCATGTCGTCGTCGGGCTCCTCAGCCCGCGGCTTGGGTTGAGGCGCCTGTCGATGCCAAAATGCTTGCATTTGCGACTGGGCCTGGTTCACAGCTTAGGACTTCAGGCTTTAGGATGTGGTCCTCAGGATATCTCCTGGAGTCCAGAAATGAGAGGTACCAAGAGCAGTACCAGTATACGGTATACGGAATCAAAGTTCCGTTTGTTAGGGCCATGGTGCAAGGTATTTCCAGTCGGGGATGGGTCCACATGTTAGACCTGTCTGTTGAGAAATGGCCATGCGCTGCGGAAGCGTGTCCAAGGATTCATAGAGGGCTCCGAGTCCTCCCGTGGAGGGAGAGCTCATCCAACAAAATCTCACGCCCAGTTTCCTTTGTCATTTCTTGAGTTTCACTTTTAGTGCCAGTGGCACTATTACTCATTCTTGAACATTTAAATTGTTTTGAGTACTATCTTTCTCAGCACTGCCAACAGATACCTGCCAAAAAGATATGTGGGGTGGCTATCCAGACACAACATACAGACAAGATTTGCTAGAAATTCTTAAGGCGTGACATTTTTGCAGTTTGGAGGTACCACATGGATGCAAGCAAAGCTTGATGAAGCCCATGTACAAGGGTGTCCTCTCTGCACTGCGGACTTAGGGTGCACGGGTCTCGGGTTGAAGGGTTGAGGGTTGACGGGTTTGGGGTGTAGAAAGTTAGGGGTTTTAAGGTTAAAGGTATCCAAAGGTTGCAAGATGATATCTTGATTTGTAGAACTTGTTGAGGGATGCATCTGATAAAAGACAACCAACTGCAAGGACCATCTGTGGGGCTTCTTGTCGGACAAGTCATACTGAATCCTGATGGCATATATGCGTAAATCAGAAAGCCAAAGGCTACTAACAATGCTTGAAGACAGAGCTCTCAGAAAGGTACTCGCTGCTAGCTGAAATATTCGGGCTCGATACAAGAAACTTGCTATCTTGGCAAATTCTACATCCATTCCCTACAAACTGCTCCAACAGGAGGCACCTCCCAGCTTCGAGACACGTACTCGACAACCTGATACGAAAGAAACCCAAATCCCGGACCCCTCTGCACAAAAGCCACTGAGGCACCGGATCCTTCGGCTCCGGACGAGCCGGCGCCTCAACCGCTTGGGGAAACATCAGAAAACCGCCTTAAACTGGTTTCGGCGTAGGAGTGACAGATTACGGGTGTAGATTCGGGGGAGTAGAGGAAGAACTCAGGTATCGGGTGAAAGGCTTACCTATGAGCAGTAATTACCAGGTCACCCGGGATAACTGCCATTATGTCAAGAAGGATTTCTTCGGGATGAGGCTGAAGCTAATCCCTTACACCAAAGTTTGCATAGTGGGGGTGACCCAGGGAACCAGCACGAGACCTCCATTTGTTATGGGCGTCTGCTTGATTTGCGCCCTCTCCATCAACAGAAACTCCTCTCCCTACTTGTTTTTCTTCACATGGTGCCAAGCTCAATAATGAGAGTACGAGTCGTTACGCGAGGTTGAGAACTACTACAGGTGTACGATAACAGGTGAGGGGATGGCGTTGGTGCAGGCGGGAAGCAGAATGTACAGCAAACACCTGTCATTGAAACTGCCTCATATTCAGACGCCTAGAAAACACAGCAGCCTTTGGGAGTAGATTTGTGAGCTGACATGTACTACGGAGTTTGAGGCAAGGCTACTGTCTTGCCTTCAAATTCTTCGATCTGCACTGACCCTCGCCAAGGGATGAGGAGACTCCTAAGCCCTGGCCTCCGAAGCGGAGGAAGACATTGGAACTACGGAGGAGAGCTTCTTCTGCTCCTCGGCCTCGTGCATGCGCTTGCAAACCTCAGGAGCTTTCAAGATCTGTCTTGGTGTTGGGTCTTTCCAACTTTAAGAACTCATTGCAGATGGGTAACTTATTCTTGCATGCCGTCTCTACTGCGGAAGTCACGCATCAGAAATCCGGAACACATCGCCAAAGCCTCTCCAACATCCCAATAATCAACGAAGGTCCTGCTAGTCCCTGTTGGAGAGTTGTCACAGGCTTAATAGCACCCTTTAAAAAAGCTGTAGTTTTCGGTGGGGGATGAGGCGGACATGCGACCTTCCACGTTATCTTGGACAGCGTTGTCTCACGAAGCTGGTGAATTCCTGGCATCTAGGCCAGAGTCTCCTCATATGCTGAGGGCTCAGTCTAAACGTGTTCAAGGAGACGGTCAAGGTTTCAAGGCGAAGGGCTCAGTTCTGGCCTCAAGGCTTGCGGCTGGTTTTCCAGGGTAGGCGTTTTGCCTCACTAACGCCCCTAAACAGCAGACAGCCCACGAAGGACCTGGACTAAGCACCTACTATGTTGAGGGAAGAAGATGTCGCCCACGTGTCGTGAAACTCCCATGTACACTTCGGCGCCAACAACACATCCCGCGCAAACTCAATGCCAGGGTTCTCCGCATCAGGGTACCATTGGGTGTGCTGGGAATATATATATATATATACTGGATGATAAGGGGATATGTGCACACAACTCTACACAAATTTACAGATGATCACGAGTGTATGCAGGGCTGTAGCTGTAGAGCAGTCTGCTAAAGCAGTCTTGCACAAACATGTAGGATCCGTAAAGCGTCATGCAGGACTTCTTCGTCAACAGTAGCGCTGCGGTTACATACATCAACCTGACTTCGCTGTCTTTGCAGCCCTGGAAGATGCAAGATGAATTGGCAAGTCCTAAGGATTTCAATGGCTGTTTCTCAGGTGGAGCTCCCTCTCACGCCCCAAAAAGCTGGAATCCAAAGCTGCGCTATCACCTAAACAAGAAGCCCCTATTTCGAGAACCCGCAGGCCAACAATCTCAGCAGGCAGCGAGGAAGGACACCGCGGCGATCGCAGAGAAGCAGCACAAGCTGCCCAGTATGGCCTTAGGACTCAGGGTTGTGGCAGTGAGGATTAGGATTTAGGCTTGGCGCTTCGGCATCTCTGCCTAGTTCTTGATAAGAGAGTGCCAACTTACTTTACATCCGCAGCAGGCACCCTTCGGACATTTTTTCATTGGTTTTCTTCTGGAAAACCGTGCATGACGGCAGTCCCACTCAGGGTTTTAGCAAAGGCATAGCTTGGGGCTGGGCTTTCTTTTTGGAGTCCATGGAATTCACGTCGGACGTATGAAGGAGGCAGACATTGAGTTCGTTGTGCATCCAATCGGTCTTCTAGCGTTCCTTCGATCAAGTAGCCGCGTGGTAAAGCTGATGCACCTGTTGCAAGATGGATGCTGAGGACCTGGTAGTGAAAGACTCCAACGCTCAATGAAGACATCACCGAGTTTACCACCCACCGTGACCCGAACATCCGTTTGCCAACGAAGAAATCTTGCATCAGCCCTGGCCTTTCAAGCGGAAAGCGCGCTGTGTAGGCCATCCGCCAAGACTATCAACTGTTCCGCTGGAGAAGTCCTGCGCGCACACCCTACTTTTTTGCACCCTGAGCCCCGGACCAGAAGTATCACACCGGCCCCGACACCTTGGGAAGGTGTCTCTGTCCCGGGCTCTTCGGTCGGCGTGATCTGAAAGAAGACATCCTCCGCATGCAAGATCTTTTCTCATTCATGTAACGCTGTCTGGCTAGGCTTATAGGCTGTGCTTACAACCCTATAGCTCTGTGGAGCAAAGCTGCTGTAAAGCCTCAGAATCATAAGAATCAATGCGGGATTTGGGGGTTCAAAACATAGAGTTCAGGTTTCGGATCTTTGGACTGATGCAGAAGTGAATGTGAAAGGGGACTATCCAGCTCCACCTCCTTTTGGGGTAACAGCAGACATGAGGAAATCAGGTAAATAGCCAAGACAAAGCTCAGGACACCTACATGTTATGCTTCAACCTGATTTAATCACTACGACCTACAAGGGAATAGCACTTGGGCTCAAAAAGAAAGTGGCAACGTCGCAATCGGCCGCATAGGGCTGAGCGCACGCCCGACTTAGCATTCTAGAACCTGAGACAACCTGCAATTAGCCATTTTCAGTCTGAGTACTCCTCACGTTACACCTAAAGGCCAAACCTAGCCCCGAACCCTAAGCGAAATATGGCAGGCTTACGTAGGTATAACCCAAACCATAATGCTCAATCGAAGAGGTCTTGAAGTACGCTTGGCTATATCCTCTTAAACAACCCTGCGTTGCAGCGCGCTGAACTCTGGAGCATTTCCGACATAACCCGGCAAGCTTGCTTAGGGCCGGCCTGGCTGGAAAGCACTGGCAGTTGGTTACAAGCTTCTGAGCATGCTACAAGGGCATAGGAGAACATTGCCCTTCGCCAAGAACTCAAGTTCGCGCAACCAACCAGTCTGCACCCGAACTGAGCGTAAATGGCATTGGGCCTGCAGGTTCAACCCCGATCAAGTCAACACTGAAGCCTGAAAAAGCAGAAAGCTCGACCTTAACACTTGTAGTCCAAGGCTGAGGTTGCTGCGGAAAACTGAGGGATCATCCGCTGAGCCTTGGGGGATAGATGCCAACAAAACTGTCTTGTCTGGGTGGTGCAACCAGCCTGGGATTCTGGAGCCCCGTTTCGCGCGGTGCAAAAGAAGCCATGCGAAACCCACCATCCATTTAGTTCTTTGGTGTGCTTCTGTGATAGAACTCAATGAGGTGACCACGGTTGAGTGGACTGACTGACAGATAGGCTGGAATCCCTACCATGACACCTGAACTGAGCACACTAGACCGCAAGAGCCTGAAGGCTGGTAATCTTCAAGCATCACACCGCGATTTGATTGAACCCTACACCCCTGATTCGCGACCCTATTAATCACAGAAGGGCTGGGGGCCACAAATCTTCTTGAAGAGCGAGGCTACAAGCTGACATGCCAAAACGAAAGGCCCTAGATGGTACAGATTTTGTGAATCCCAAAATAATTCCCCGGCCCTGGGTCCACCTTTCCCTATAGGGTCGGGTTGCACACACGACCCTTGACACGGGTGAATCTACACTCCACACTCGGTACCCATCTGTAGGCCTGAACCTGGAGCGCAGGACCCTACCTACACCACCTTCAGAAACTTTCATCAGAGCTTGCCACAGCTCCCTCACAAGGATCACCTCTGAACATCAGCGAACCTTTCCCTTGCAAAGATATCAACTGGATGAGGAACAATCAACCCGGGCATCCGGGGCATGTCATGCCACTTACATGTTAACGCCGCAGTCTTCATAATTCAATACAACATAATACAACCCCAATCCGAAGCCAACAACCCTTCACTCTCTCGCCGCGGCACCAGCTCCGACAGCGGAATCCGGGGATATTGACTGCGCAGCCTTCGAGCCACCTCTCCGGCCTGCAATCCATGCGGGGAGTGGATGACATCTTACGCCACCACGGGTCCCAGTCATAGGACTTTTTCTACTTTTTGAGTTGGGTATGTTGCGCATTATCCCCGAAGAAAGTCCTTGCAGAAGGAATTTGAGGCAACGGTAATTACCCGCCACAACTCAGGCCACACAACGCTGGGCTGGCCAGCTTAGCATCATGCCTGTAGGGCACCATTCAGCAGCGAATTCGGCCCTATGCCCTAAACCCTTTGGGCCCCATGCGTGACGAACCAAATGTGCTTTAACGATCAAACCACTCCTACAGTAGTCAAGGAACTGGGGACATGTGAAAGTTTAAAAAGGAATGTTGTAAAACATGGCTTGTATCTATGCCAGAACACAGAACAACGTCAGGACCTGCCTTGGAAGCCTCTATGACAAGAGAACAGGGTCTGCGACGCTGAAGTGCGGAAAGATGGAACTGCACAGCTTCCAACAACCCAAATTCCAGCCTGGTCATAATAAGCATCATACCTGGGATCATGTGGAGACTGTGGACCGGACTATGGACGAACATCTCCACTACCACTAGCATCACTAGCAGCCTAGCAAGCTGGTCGTAACTTAGTAGCTGTTGTGAGAAAGCGGGAGCAAGGATGGCAGCGATGTGCACGTTGCTTCCCACCAGCAGGAACATTATAATAACAGCAATCGCATGCTGACTACCGCTGCTGAAACGTATGAACAAAACAAGCTGGTGCGCTGAGCCGTCCCTCCGCCCTTACCTGCTTGTAATTTCAGATCCTCATGATGCCTCATGGTCAAGTGTAGATTCAGGATCAGACTCCGCACCGTCACTCCAAATTCTGGGGGGAGACTGTTGGGTCGCCAAGGCTGATTACATGTGCTCTGCCATTTCCAAGTGATACAGTAAAGCGTCCGGCTCGGAGAGCCTCACTTCGTATACGCCTACGTCATGACACATGGATCTCATGATTTTCTCGGCCATTCTACGTCTCTTCGGGGCAGTGCGAAGACCCTCATTATCACCAGAGCAAGTAGTCTCTGCCCTATACCTCCGAAGCCCAGAACCTTAAACTCCGAAACTGCATCCTGCTGCACCCAGAGCTTTATAAAATGGAGGCCAGAGTAGGAAAGATACATCAACCTTCAGCGAATCAAACAGAATGACCAAGAACGGCCATGCCTCAGCACCTGCGCCTAAACATTAGATGCAAAAGTAAATCAGCGTTAAACCTGCCAGTGGTCCGTCCACAACCCGAACAAGCTTTGAGCCCCGAAATTGCGACCCATGCGGGCTTCGTCTGGCTAGATACAAAGACCATGGGGATAGCTAGGGATGAGAATTGGATTCAGGAACCTCTCCTCGCTTCTAAGATTCAGGGGTTGCTTGCCAAGAAGCTGGAAAGAGCTATCGGTGGCCATCAGTGCGAGCTCCTCAGCTTGCGGGGCCGAAAACAATCGCAACCCGGAGCATGCGCCCTGCATTCAACAAGAGTTTTAGGGGAGACTTGCAGAAGT